CTCTCTCTCTCACACACACACACACACACACACACACACACACATCAAGCAACTGAGAAGAATGAAAAGCAGCCTAGTAATAAACCCTTTCCTTCCAATTCACAACAGTTTAATTACTCAGAAATCACAGTTCTAAGCATTTTTATTAGCAGAGTGCTGCCATTTACTGTTTTCTAGCATCACCTATTTTCATGGCACTTTCCCAAGCGTGAGATTCTTAAACCAAGGGACTTCTATTCCCTAAGAAAAAATAGAAATGAAAGGGAGACGGCAGAGGAAGGCGAGGGAAATGCAGGTGGGGAAGAGAATGAAAGTATTTTGTTCAATGGGGAACGATATGGAGGCAGAGGGGCTGCCGAGTGAACAGGTGGCCAGGCCATGGTCCTTCCCAACAGAAGAGGAGCCTCGGCTTGGAAATCTTGCTGAGAAATCCCCGAATTCCCCCTGAAGATGCCTTCCGAAAACTCTCAGGCGGTCCTGTGGGACCCTGCAATGCACAGAGGTTCCTGGGGAGACTCAGGGATGTGGAAAGCAGAAATGCCAGCAATCGTTGTAGCAAGATTTCCAAGAAACTGCCCCAAGCACTTCCTTCGGCAGAAAGAAATCTGAGGAAAAAAGAAGGCGAGAGGATGGGGGTGACGGGACACAGGGTTCTCCAGGAGCACGCCCCATACCGCCGGAATGCCAAGGGAAACAGACATGGAGCCCCCCTCCTTCACAGTCCTTTTTATGGGACGCTTCCCAAGTCCCTCTGACATTTCAGGTTGGTTTCGCAGGCCCCTGAAGGAAACCTTTGCCAAAACGAGCTGAGCCTATTGCATCCATTCTTCCTTCCCTCAAGAAGGAAAAGAAAAAAAATCAGCCATGCTTACAATCTGAAAATCATGAACTTCTATAGCCTCTTCCTTCCCACTTCCAGTTTTAAAGGTCTCCTGGTTGTTCCTCGCATCTATTTCCATGGAACCTTCTTGGACTTGCCCATTAACACTCATCGTATAGTGTACATTGTAGACCTGGAACCAAAACAGAAATATTTAGGGAAGACTTTGGGGTCGTTAATAAAGTGCTTGGCATGTAGCTTTAACAGGACAAGTGATGCAATCTTGCATCTGGTGGAACCAAGGGCCCTAGGCCAGCTTTCTGGGTGATCTCAACGTTCATGCCAAAGCCTCCTAGTTCAGGTGGCCCCAAAAACCTATCACCCCAAAGGTTAACAAGTTAGTCATGTTTAGCCCTTTCTGGATGACTCTGACTGGCTCTAACCTTACGTGTTGGTGTGCACCTTCCATGATTTTGTCCAGCTGCCCAAATATTTCTCGGATCTTATTTTCACACGGCATGGAAGGCCTGCATGGGGAGTGGAGGAATTTGGAGTGATGCAAGGGCATGAGAACATCAGAACATGGGAAAACCCTGCTGGGTCAGACCCGAGGCCCATCTAGTCCAGCACTCGGTGGCAAACCCGGCTGCCCACAGGATCCCTCCAGCAGGACGGGTGCAAGACCTCCCCCTGCCCAGGCCCCTCAGCAATGGGTGTGTGCAGGCAGGCACCCCTGGGCAAGGAGGCAGCCCATGGCCAGCAAGGCCAGTAGCCGCAGACGGCCTCCTCAATCTGGCCATTCCCCTTTTAAAACCATCCAGATTGGCGGCCTTCACCGCTTCCCATGGTAGCAAATTCCACAGCGGAACAAGATGCTTTCATCTGTCCTAAATCTCCCACCCATCAGCTTCCTGGTGACCCCTTTGGGTTCCCTTCTTATGGGAGAAGAAAAGAGCGCCTCCTTCCGACTTTATCCACCCTGCGCTCGGAGACCTCTGCCCCGTCTCCTCTACCCTTTTCTCAGCTGAGCAGTCCCAGCCGTTCGTCGCAGCTGCTCCTCAGGCGAAATGCCCGTCTCTCTGCTTTTTTTTGTTGCCCATCTCTGTACTTTTTCCAGCTCAGTAATGTCCCTTTTCGGGTAAGGCAACCAGGAATGAGCACGGTATCCCAAGTGCGGCTGCTGCAGATAGGACCTCTGCAGTCCCATTTTCTGCCCCGTTCCTAATTATTCACAGCGCGGGGCCGCCGCTTCTTCGCCACAGCTGCGCGCTGGGCCAACATTCCCACCGCCCCAAGATCCCTTTCGTGGCCTGGACTTGTTGCCCCGGGGGGCACTGCGCACGTGCACGGCCTGTGCAAATACTCAGCCGCCCAAGCTGGATTTTAGTTTTGCTCCTAGCCACACCTTCTATCATGCCTTGGCCGTAAAAAAGCAAGGGGGAAAAAATGTCCACCCTTGGAAAGAGAGGGAAATGAAATGCCTGATGCATATGGATGAGTCCCAAGAAGAAATCTTAAGTAAGCTTGTTTCTTGTTCAAACTTTTCTGGCTGAATTATAAATGAAACCTGGCAGAATAAGGGAGGGCTTATTCTGTGCTTTAGCGTGGAAACATCTGGGATGCAGTTCCTGAAAGGGCCACTTTAGTTCTCGATATTTTGCTTCCTCGATATCACGAAGTTACAAGATGCACCGCATATATTCCATAAACTCCGGTTATATCCTGATTTGTATTATTCTCAGAGGTACAAAGAACGGAGCTTAGCTTGGGGAAACTCACTCGATGTAGCAGATATGATGTGCTATTCGGGTCTGGGGGTGGACGGTGAGTAGGTAAAGGCTCCCTTGGGAATACACAACTCAACCAGGACACATCCCTGATTTTTAAGGCCTGGTCACAAATCTGCTTGAATCTCTATTTTAATTTTCTGATTAGTTTTCAATCCAAAATACAGCCAAACCATACAAAAATGTCTCAAGTTAAACATACAGGTAAAAGATTTTAGGCTTTATTTATTTTAAGATTTATTTTCGTCCTGCTTGCACCTCTGACAGAATACAGCTGAAGCTTCCAGGATGACCCAAGCCTTCCATTCAGCCACCTTTTCAGAGCAATAGTAAGGTGAGTTCTACCACACTCCCCCCCTCTCCTCTCCAGAATGGAGTGGCCAGAGGCAGCTCCATGCCTGACATGGAGGAAGGACGCTTGGTGCTTTTGAAAATCAAGTCTGGCTGTGCCGGCCACCTGTCCAGTGATCCAGTTATGCTAAGAGCTGAAGAGCAGAATATTCCTGAAAGCCAGGTAAGAGCGTGACCCCTTCCAGGCAAGGCAAACGGGATGTGTGTTTACCACACACACAGCGGGTGGCTTGGAAGAGTGGTCCGTGCAGCAAGGGACCGCAGGAGAAAGAGCAGGGCAAGCTGGAGACGTTTTGCCAGTGGGCTAGTGGGCCACCTCGACCCGCATTGACGCGCAGCGTGGCGGAGGCTGGCCAAGCCGCCCTGCTCTGGGGCAGAGGAGGCTGCCTGAGGGCGGAGGTGCGCTGAATCCCGGAACAACGCGCTGCCCCCCCAAGGCCCCGCTGCCCCAGGGAGAGCCCTCCTTGCTGGAGGACACCCGAAGGAACCCAGTCCCGAGAGCCCGGTCCTCACCTCCTTGTCGTTCCCCTTCCAGTAGTAGGAGGCTCCCATGGCTCCCAGCAGGAGGAGGATGGCTCCACCGACGAGCACCATGGCCCCGATCCTGAGCAGCTGCCCGGTGCTGGCGGGCTTGGCCATCACAGTGAAGTATGCCTGCAGGGGGGGGGGGGGGCAGTGTGAGGACAGCCCTGGCCCCCGGTCCGTCGGGGTCCCTGCTGGGCTGCCGAGCCAAGTGGCAGAGGCAGGCCTGGCCGGAGTCTTCTGCAAGTTTGCTCCAAAGTCAGGCTCTCCACATCCGTGGGGCTTACTTTGTAGTAAGTGCGCGCTGGATAGCGGCCTTACTCTGGAATTATTCTCATTCTCTTTCCCCTGGATTGCAACTGTTCTGTAGGATTCCTTTCTAGGCAACGAGCTCTAAAAACTGGGAAGGCACCGTGCAGCTATGATCACAAATATTCCATTTATATCCCGCCTTTTCTCCTTTTGCGAAGGGCCCGAGGCTGCTTACACAGACTTCTCGTTAACCCCACAACAACCCTGTGAGGCAGGCGAGGTGCAGGGCGTGAATGGCCCAGAGTCATGGGGCAAGCCTGCTGGCTGTGGGGGGCTAGAAGCTGCACCTCCCAGGCTCTGCATGCACATGTGGGGCTCACCTCTCTCTGCATCGCACAGGTGGGCCGGGAGCTCGCAGGGCGCATGCACGGCCGACCGCAACGGGTGCAGCCTCCAAGCAGCCCTGCTATGGGGACACCTCTATGGGGACACCTCCCCTGTGCCCATGCCCCTGCTTTGGGACTGAGGCTGAAACCCAGAATGGCCAGGGCTGGGTGGGATGGGGTGCACCCGGGGCGGGGGGGGTGCTTTTCTTCTGCAAGCTTCCTGACCCATTCCTGGGACGCCACAGAAGGTCCCAATGATGGGCAGCCCTGCCTTGGTCCCTGCTGCTTCCAGCTCCCCCAGCCCTGCAAAACGCCCGCCAAGGAGGGCGGCAGAAGCACCAACTTGCTGGAGTTTCCCTTCCTGACCGTTTGCCAGTCCAGGAGCCCTCCAGGTCCTAACAAACGAGCATGTTCTGCTTTCTCGCTTTGCTAGAAGATGCCATCTCGGGGGATGTGGGGGATAGGACTGCTGAGGCAGAAGCGGTCTCCACGTACTTAACGGGGCTCAGTCTAGGCTTCTTGGTTAAAACGCGACACACCTACCCGCTGCTCATCTCAGCCCGAGGCACTCTGTACATGCTCGGCGAGGCATGCACTCGGTGCCCCGCGCTTGGAGCGCGCCTGGGCTTTCGGGGCAGCAGCCGGGGCCGCGCCAGAGCGGGCGCAGCCCCGCGATCGTGCTGGGGGCGAGGGGGCGCACGTCGGGGGGGGCCCGGGAGGTACTCACAGGGGGCAGCGGGCACCGCTCGACGTCCTCCGGCCCCGCCGAGGCGATGGGCACCTTCTCCAGCCGCTCCGCCATCCGCGCCGCTCCGGGACTCCTTCCCGCGCGCCCCCGCCGTGCGCCCCGACGGGGCGGCGCGTCGGGGCGAGGGGAGGCGAGGCGAGGAGGCGCGGCCACGTGGGAGGCCGGGCCGGGCAGCCCGCCAGCGGGGCCTCCGGGCGCGGAGACAACGGCCCTTTCAGCGTCCCGCCGCAGCCCTCCAGCCGCACGCAGCCGGGGCCGCCGAGCCCGCCGCGGGAAAGCCGAGCCCAGGCGCAAGGGGCGGCTCGGCTCGGCTCGCTGCCCCGCTTCTGCCTGCGTGAGGCGCGCCGGGCGATCTTCTGCAGGGGCTGCTGGAGAAAAGCGCCGGCCGGCTGGGGGCGCAGCCGTCGCGGGGCGCCTCGCCCTTCCGCCGGGGTGCTGGCCTTTGTCCCGGATAGCCGGGCTCGGGAGGAGGGCGGGCTGGAGGGGCCCAGGGGCGGGCTGCCTAGTGGGGAGAGGAGCGCAGCCCTGGACGCTCTAGCTGGATGCGAGGAAGGCGCACATTGCGAGGCCGCGTCCCCGAAGGCGCGGACGCAGTTGCTCGGGCGTCCTGCCTGCCGGTGCTCAGGATCGGGCGATGAGTTCTGGAGATCCAGGCACTGGGAATGCAGGCGGGCAGTCGGGTTCCCCTTGCACCCCTGGATCCGACCCTGGCAAGGCAGAAGCACTGCCTCTGCGCTCGCCTCCCGTGGCATCCACGCCACCCCCAAGGCCCCAGGGCCCCGGGCGAGCCGCCCTCTCCCGCCACGCGATGCCCACTCGTGGGCCGGTTGAGCGGGCGCGCAGCCCGGCTGTGCGAGGTGCGTGAAGCCAGGAGGGAATCTCACCCGGATTTCTCCTGCTCTGGCCAGCCACTCCCGGACTTGCAGCCGGTGGGCGACCGTCTTTCCGCAGCCATCCGGAAATAATCCTGCTCTTCCAAACAGAGAAGAAAAATGTCCCGCACGTCTGCGTTACCTGAATCAGACGGTGAGGCCCTCGGTGCGCATTTTGCACCAGCAGAAGCTGCCCGGTTGTGCACCTTCTTGAATTTCGTGGATTTGCGTTTTTGCAGATGGACCCGAGGCGGGTCTGATTGGTGGCACCATGTTGCCAAAATAGCGGCATTCTTTTCTTTGCGTTCTCTGTTTGGCTGGGGTTGTGGTGATGGGGAACTCACCCAGAAATTCTTCACATTCTCCGTCTCGTTAATCTCACTTGGCAACAGACATCAAAGGGCACGCCAAGATTGTCACATGAAATTGGAATTTAGGCTGCCACCTTACAACAGTGGCATCTACGTGAGCCTTCTGTGCTCACTTTACCGGTGGCATTTCCCATCTTGTGAACAGAGTCTTGCAAACCAAACAGAGCTGGAGTGTGGAAGTAGACAAAACTAAACCAGGGCCAGGGAGGCAATATAACAGGTGTGTTGCTTGATCTATATTTGTTTGCTTAATTTATGAAATTACACCAAGATGGATAGCAGCAGGATCCCGTGACTGAATTTTCAAGTTCTTATTTTTTCTGTAACTTTGATTAAAGCAGACATGCTGGAAAGGGGGCTGGTGAGGTCCTTCCGCATTGTTTTCCTGATCCCATCCCGCCGAACATGGTGTGATGCTACCAACTGGTTATGACCATGCGGCGGATGCGAGACGAGGCTGTTTCTTTTGGTGCTCGTGGGGGAAGGGCCAAGGGATGTCCTTTTTCCCAAGGGTGGAGACAGAGGCAGAGGGCTGGGGCCATTCCACAGCATCTGGCCTGCTTCCCTAGGATAAGCTTTGGAAAAACTAATCACTGGTTTTTGCATGGTTTGAATGGGAAGCATCCGATTCTGGGATGCACTTTCTCATTGGCCTCTGTCATCCCTTATGCACCTTCCCTTGGAGACCAAGAAAATATTTGTCCTCTTTCTGTACACACATTAAAGTGAAGGATGAATCTATTGACAAATCAACATGCATATATGCAGCTCAATTTTTTAAAAAATGTGTTTCTTTAATGTCTCTGCTTTAGCTGAAGTGCTCTGAGCAGTTAATTCATAAAACAGACAGTACAATCAACCACACATCCCCTCCCCGTATGCAAAAATGTTAAAACAAATTAATGGCACTTAATATATGATGCAAGGTAGACCTGTAAAAACATGTGCAGCGGGAAGGTCACTCAAGCCCTTAAATGTCCTTGGGCATCTTCAGTGCCTCAGCAGAGAGGACTGTCTTAATCCGGTGCAGAAAGGAACACAAGGTTGGTTCCAGGTGGGCCTCAGCAGGGAGATTATTGAGCAGTTTGAGGGCCACCACCGTAAAGGCCCTGCCTTCTGCGGCTGCCCCCTGTGCTTCCCTCGGACATGGCACTCTGAGAAAGGCGCTGCATGTTGGCATGGTATCGGGGGTGGCGGGGGAAGCAATGCAATCAAGTATTGTGGTTCTGGCCATTCATTGTTATCGTTGTTGTTGTCGTTGTTGAAGTTGAGATTTCTGACAACCTGCTTGATGCGTACTGGGAGGCTCAAGATTGGGGTTTGTTGCAACATTATAAAGACAGGAAAGAAAATTCGGGAAAGAAGGTGAGGTGGCTGCGTGGGGCACATTAATTTATTACCACAGTTATTTTATTGTTATGAACATTGGCTGCGAAGCTACTTTTTAAAGTGTTGTCGTGTGGAAATTCTCTCCCACGCATGACGTATCCCTGAGAGGCAGCGAGCCTCTCATTTCCACAGCCTGGGGTGTGGTTTGGGGTTATTTTTCCTTACCTTGTAGAGATAAGTTTTTTTGGGGTTGTCATTCTTTCCTGAGCAGAGTGAACACTCATAAATACGCATTGCCCATCGTTTCGGGAGGTTTGAAGCGCTGCCCACCCTCAGGGCCTGCTTGAAGCTCTGCTGCAGGTGTGCCAACCAAGCCTAAGGCAAGGTGGAAACGGATGTGAATCCTGCCTCCCCCTCCACCCTGGAAGCTTTTAGCACTTCAGACGCCCAGCAGAAATGGCGCAATAAAAGATTGCACCTCATCTAGTATGCATCACTTGTAAAAATTAAATGAAAGATTAATTTCATTTCTGAAAAAGACGTCTGGTTCCTTTCTGCCCAGAGCTCCTGCGATGCCTCCTTTCTCCGTCTGATTTTGATAAAGAGACTCTCTCTTGAAATATCTTGGGTTTCAAGATAGCCTTGCAATTCCCTCTTTTAAAAAATAGGTATTGTGAATGGGAAAAGCAACTACCCCAGAAGAATTAAGCCATGGGCCTTCCAAGGAGCCTTCCCTTTCTCTTATGTAATGGATCCAACCCTCGTGAGTGGAGCCGGCTGGTGCCGGAGGCCAGACTTGATGGCCTGGGAGGCCCCTTTTGACTCGCTCTGTTTCTATGTTTCTTCCTCCCCAAATGCACGTCTTTGTTCTGCCTGATATCTTCAGAAAGCCAGTGCCAAGACGTCATTGATGTCAGTTCAAAATTACACCCAACATTGTTCTCTGGCATCGAGTCTTCCTATTGTTGCAGAAGAAAACGCCAAGGTCCTACTTTGTGTAAGCACAGGCTGGCTTTTCTGTCAATTTCTGTCATTAGCAATCAAATACTCCCAAAATCTTAAGAAGCACAGATGTTGCTGAAAACGAATGCAATCACAGTTCATTAGATCGGAAACATGGCATTCTTTGTGAATCTCTTAATTGGCTTGTCCCTGGATGGAGGGATACTGTTGTAGCTCATTTCTAATGATAAGTCCTCTGATCGTCTTCATTAGCAAGCAATTTACTATCCCCAAAAGGGGAAGGGTGTATGTGGTTGCTGCCTGTTCCAGCAAATGCGGGAATTCATGGCTTTGATCAGGGTTGTGTGTGCGTTGCTTGACTGTACACAAGTGGCAGAGAATGCTAAATGTGGCATTGGATGCAGAAAATAGCTTCCTGAGAATCTCTGGGTTTGTTACTACAAGAAAAAAATCAAGTTTCTAGCCCTCATGGCTACAAAGGTGCTACATGACATCTGGTGAATCCCAGAAGCCAGGTGAGTAGTGAAGTATATAGGCAACGGTCTCACAGCAGGTCACACCTTCACCCGCCATTCATCCTTTTCATTGGGGATGCCAGGGACTAGAATCTTGATCACTCTGGCCCTCTTTTGTTTTGGTCAAAGCTCTTCTTCAGCATCTTCCATGCAGAATCTTGCATTCTCTGTGCAATCTGGGTGTCTGAAAATCACATTGCATTTTTGTTTGGTTGGTTTTGCAAGTAGGGGAGGGAAACCGCAATGACCCCTTCTTTTTTTTTTTAAATTTTAAGGCTGGTCTGGCTGTTCTCTCTCTTGCCTTGCTTTTAATTTTGCAATCCCACTTAGTGAGGGTAAACTTGGTTCAATTTTGCAGTCGCTTTTGGACTGCAAAATTGAGGTTCTGCATGGCTTGGCGAGCGAGGCTTTAAAATAAAATAAGCAGGGCTCCACTCACAGGCTCCAAAGCCAGGCCGTGGAACGCAGGGCCCAAAGTCTGCAGATCCCGGGGCCACAAAGGCTGACTTGCCACCACCAGCGAATGCCTCCTGTGAAACCTGGAATGGGATACGGGCTGCTCGGTGCAGTGCTCCCACCAAATCAAGCGTGTGCTCGGCAGCGCCGAGGCAAGCCGCTCCGCAGAAAGTCAGAGTGGCGGACCTTTCGCAAGGCAGCCGGCAGTGTGTCCAGCAGTACCAGCCGCTGGACTGGGCAATTTCCAGGGTATCTGCACGCAACCACAGAGTGTGGCACGTCTTGTGAGGCCCTCCCCTGCGTATGTTCACGGAATGGCGTTTCCTGTCCCTTCCCACTGGGGCCGTGGGCATTTCAAAGAAGCCACCCACGGGGAGGACTGGGCGAAAAGCACCCTGCAAGACACATCTTGGAAGCCTTCCAGCATTGTTTACGAAGCACAGAGAATGTGTGTCTTTCCTCTTCCCTGTTGTGAGAAATGAAATTTGACTGTTACTAAGTGGTAAGGTGAAAACCAAAGAAAGGGTGAAATGCGGGGCTGGGGTGGG